CCAAAGACCACTTCCGACTGCACTAATTTGGAATCAGCGCGCTTATTTGCACCGCGGCGTGATATTTGCACCGCGGCGATTAGCGAGATATTCGCCTGTGTGAACAACGACACAATTAGCTCACTATTATCTCCGCTATTAGCGGGCTGAGCAGCGCGGTTTTTCTTGTGTGTGAACGCGCCTAATGTGTGCATATGCCAGAAATAGTGTAATGGTTCACGCGTTGCATCCTTGTATGAGCTTTGCATTGTGTTTCCCTTTATTCCCAGTTGTGGAAATAGTTTCCTGGCAGTTTTGACAGTCGTGGCATATCTGAGATGCAGTAACTTGATTATTCATTGTGTGTGTCAGAGCTAGTACATTTGTACTTATATAAAAGTATTATACAATATCATCTTGATACTGGTCAATTTTGACGTCAAACTAGCTATTTTGTTTTTGATTACAGTAGCTGTACTGTTGCTATAGTTTCTGCCTCATCCACATTCTAACCGTGGATTTTATTGTGTAGTTTGCCTGTGTGTATATGGATATACGTTCTTATAAATGCATATATCTTTGGCATAACAAAATTTTTAATGGAATTCAAAAGAATTTGGAAATAAATGATTTTGTATATTGCATTGTGTTTTATAGTAAACGGGCATAAATTATATTAAAACAACTTGATTGCTGGTACATTTTTCTTGGTATGCATTATGTGTGGGTTATAAAGAATCGAGCTAGCTGGCTTATAGGGGTGAGCATATATGTAGCACGTGTATGGTGGCCCAGTGTCATAATAGCAGGAGTAAGATAATATAGAGGATTAATATAGCTTATTATCTTATCCTATATTATATAATAACCTATATTATCTTACTCCTGATAATAGTTTATCACAAGTCTTCGACGTGGCCCACTGTTATAATACATAAACATAACCATATACTGCTGAGTATGGTGGCCCAGTTTTATATAATAGTTTATCACAAATCTTCGACGTGACCCACTGTTATAATACATAAACATATTGAACCATATACCATACACACGTCCATAGACCATATACCATAAACCATATACAAGTCGAAGGCTTGTGATTAACTATTATAACACTCAGCCACCATACTCAGCGGTATATTGTCATGTTTATGTATTCTAACAGTGGGCCACGTCGAAGACTTGTGATAAACTATTATAACACTGGGCCACCTAGGTACAATAATGTAACCCGACAAGAGTAGGTAACCTACTCTTAATTGTTGGGTTACATTATTGTATCTATGGGCCACCATACACGTGTGAACATATAACACATGTTTTAGGGCATGTCGTATGCTCGGGTTCTGTGATCTTCTACCATTCAACGACACCTGAGCTGTTGCAACCGAACTGAGGCTTTGATGATGATAATGATGATGATGATGATGATAGATAGATGATAGAAAGAAAACAAGAAAACGGAGGCTGTATAATATATTAATCACATCGTTTATTCAGCACATAGAAACATATAAATATATGTATGCATGTAGATGCGTGTGTGTGCGTGCGTGCGTGCGTGTGTGCGTGCGTGCGTGTATGTAGCCCTATGCGTGCATGGATGTATTCAGAGGCGCCGGAGTGGGGCAGGGGGGGGGCGGCCGCCCTCCAATCCAAAGATGGGGGGGGGCAAAACCAAAAAGGCGCCCCCAAAAGCGAGAGTGGGAAAAGACAAAATAAAATGTAATGAGCTAAGACTTGTTAGTTCTATACGTTCAAAAACTAATTTTCATTCATTTAAGTTTCGCTGCGCGCGTTTGCGGGATTGACGCTCACGTCGCACACACCGCGCTCACGCACCCACGCCGCACACACGCGCTCACGCACACACGCCGCACGACACGCGCTCACGCACACACGTCACACACACGCGCTCACGCACACACGCCGCACACACACGCGCTCACGCACACACGCCGCACCACCGCTTCACGCACACACGCAAACACACGCGCTCACGCACACACGTCACACCACAACGCCGCACACACGCGCTCACGCACACACGCCACACACACGCACACACGTCACACACACGCGCTGACGCACAACACGTCACGCACACACCGCCTCACGCACACATCCCGCACATACGCGATCACGCATCCACGTCACACACACGCGCTCACGCACACACGTCACACACACGCGCTCACGCACACACGTCGCACACACGCGTTCACGTACACACGTCACACACACCCATACACCA